CCTATCTTCTAAGTGGTCTACTCTGGTGGTGGTGCTCTCATTTGAATTTTAAATTTGGTTTATTATTTCTTTCATGTCAAGAATTTCTGTGGGGTTTTTTTTGTATAACCTCTATCTCACTGTAGAGGTGATCTTTTGCTTCTTCGATTTGTTTATGTAGCTGATTGTCAAAGTGATCTTCCACTGCCTTTATTTTTTCTCTTATGCCTTCATTGAGATCCCAAAACATTTTATTCATGCATATCCTGAAGTCTTTCTCTGTCATTTTTCTGCTATAGTTGTCAATTCTCCTAATTATGTGTTGTCTTTAATCGTTTGTGGTACTTTCTTCCCTTGTCCTTTTTATGTTGCTTGCATTTCTTTCTTTCCAGCTCTATGGGACTGGTGTGTTATTGTTTTTACCCTATAGATTTGACTCTTGTATGTTTCCAAGATCCCTCCTTTGTGGGGAATGACAATGTTAACAGATCCCAATATCAACAATACATCACCTATGAACAAATTATTGTGATTAAGACATTTATAGTTAATTTCACTGTCCAGAAATGAGGGATTTAATTATTATTTAAAATATAATCAGTAGTTTCATAAAAGATGTACAGTTTCTGGTGGCAGACAGAGAACTCGGGGTTGGGTGTTGGACATTATGCTAAGGGGAAAGATGTGAGGGTATGGGGTTAATAAAACTTAGGAAATTTGGAGGAGAACTCTAATTAAGAGGGTTAGTCATAGGGGAATAGACAGGAGGTAATTTAGCATAGAAAAGTATTTGAAGACAGTAGAGTACATAAAATCACACTTATATATTTAGAAAATTATAGGATGTAAAAATAGTAAAATTTGGAGGTTGAAAGAAGAAGAAAGAGAGGAAGAAAAAAGCAAAGAAGGAAAGAGAAAAAAGAGATTTAAAAAGAAAGGGGGGGCTTATGCAATTCCTCTATATTGTATTATACTGGTGACTCACTTCTCAAAGTTCTATTTCATGTAAAGTTCTTGGTTTCATATATGTTGGGGTTGTGAGGTCCAGAGGACAGAAGGATAGAGGAGAAAGAAAAAGGAAAAAAAATACTCTTAGAATTCTGTTTCCTTCCTTCTTCTCTTCTGTTCCAGAAGGTGGAGTTGTCTATTTTAAGCTGGAGTCTCTGCCCTCAGGTTTGGTGTAGGTAAACAGGGTGAGAAAACTTGAGTCTCTGGTAGAGTCCCCTCTGCTGCCTGGAGCTTCCCTAATCTTGGTCTCTCTGTTTTGATCCAGGTGTTTAGACCCCTCCCCTCTCTTGCTTATCAGGTCTCAACTGCTGGACCTCTTGCCCACAGGCTTGCACCAGGTGGGTGGTGCCCTGGTCGCACTGTGCTCTTGTTCACCCTTGATCAGTTTTTGTGCTGGGTATACACTGTGCCAAGGTATTGCAGGTGGGATAGGGGAAGTTGAAAACCAGGTCCCTGTTCAGTCGGAGATCCCACACTGATATCCATGCCACCTGAAAATGGTGAGAAAGGTTTTCCAAGAATGAGTCGATCTGCTTCCAGCACCTGGGTGTCTAGTGAGGTGGGGGGAGCTGGGATGTCCTAGTCCTGTGGCTAGAATGCAGCCGGGTGACCTGCATGGGAGCAGAGTGTAGTCTGGACTTCTGCAGAGGTGCTGATTTTGTGATTCTTGTATGCCACTTGAGAGCTGTGCATGTGCTTGAACTGGGTCTGGAGTCTGGAGTTTTACTGGAACACTGAGTGTTCTCAGCTCTGGTGGATTCTGTGAAAATCTACTGTATAGGGATCCTGTCACATGCTCTGAGGTGTTGTATTCTGTTTAGGTGAGACCTTGTGGAAAAGCCACCTGACTGCTTTCTTGGATTCATGCACAGAACAGCCAGAAATAGTACCTCCTCTATTCAACCATCTTGGGTGTTACATATCCCTTGTAGGATGTAATGAGGATACTTCACCTCTGTGGAATTATTCCCCAAAAGCTATGACAGTAAAAATGAAGAAGTCCGAGATCCCCAAATAGAAAGACATGGTGCAAAATACTTGTCAAAGTTTCTTCAAAAGAATGAATAACATGAGAAATAAAGGAAGATACATTTTCATGGAATTATTAGTAATCTAGAGGTGATTTAAAGTGTTCAGGAGGATGTGTGCTGGTTCCATGCAAGTACTACATCATTTTATAGAAGGCACCTGAGCATCTGCAGAGTACTCTGAAGAGTACTCATACTCAAATTGGATCATGCTTTAGTGAACAATGAACGTATTTTCCTCGTGTTCCCCATTCTAATGAAACCAACTTGTTTTTGAAGTTCCTAAGGGACTAGTTGTTCAGAATCTCCCAGGAAAGAAATTTTTCTATGCTAGTGGGAACTTCATCTCACTCAGTCACATTGTAGGAGCTGGTTTAGTTGTGGAATTTTCTTAGGATCTCAAGCTTCTCAAAGCATCCATGTAGTCATAGTTGGGGAAAAAGGAAAAAAATGACAAAACATATTTTTATATTAATTAATAAATGCTTTGTGCTTAGAGAGGATCTATCCTATAACATGTCAGATTTCTATTTTGGTTTATTTTGCTTTTTGCCAATTTTTTAATTTCTGAAAAAACTAAATAAATATCACTTTTTTTTTTTTTTAAAGAAAATTCAAACCGGAAAAACTTCTATTCTTGTCCTACAGTGTGAAAACTCAACCCCTTTTTTTCTTCTATAGCTCCTAGGAGAGCTGATTTATTTGTGACCTGCAGAACAAACTCCCTTTTGGATTGCCAGTAATAGGGAGCTTTGGGGGTTCACTCTGTGGTAGAGAACATAAAATCCCCTCCCATGTGCAGACAGTGTTGCAGCCCAGAGGACAAGATGACAGACTGTCCTGCACAGGACCCCAGGTATTTCCCCCACACCACAGAGCAGTGAGAAAAGAGGGGGAGGCTACCAATGGGTCTGAAACCATGTGATCCTTTTTCCAAACTTGCTGACTTTTGCCTTAATTACCCATGGGGGTGATTGCACTTGCTACACTACCCAGTGGCACATAAGTTAAATCAGACAATGCATGGGGGATACTCTGCAAATTTTTATCAACTGAATATTTTTGGGTATTATTGAATTATGGCCTCAGAGTACTAAGCTCCATAAGAAATAGGAAGTACAAATTTGACCACACCAGTATTTGGTGTGGTCATATACTGGTACGGTGGTCCTATTATGTCCAACCTCACCTGGGTAACTGCAGATCCCATGTCGCCAAAGTCCCCAAAGCAGATCCCATCTTCCACAGAACAACTGGGCCAAGTTGGCTTCAAGCAACACCCCATTGGGGGGGGCTAAATTAAGATCTCAGGGTCATCCTGAGTCCAAAGTCTAGAGACTTTTTGAAACATAAAGTACAGAGAGAAACAGACTGTTTGCGGGATAAGTAGGTGTTCTTTCCCCATGGTGATCACACAGTGGGAACATCACTTCCAGGGATGTTCCAGCCAGGGTTCTCCATGTGTGGGAGATGGAACCACTCATCTTACCTACCACAGCCCCCACCAAAGCTCTGCTCACAGAATCTTTAGTCATCTTCCAGAGGGAAGAAATTAAGACTCCAGTGCCAGAATCCAGGGAAAGGAATTAAGATCAACTCTGGCAGCTGGGAAAGACCAGGGGAAGCTGGGATGGGGGAGTTGCTTGGTGACTGACCCCACCAGGCTCACAACTGGTATCATATCATCTTCTATGTGAAGACTCTTCTCAGTGTGAGGAGGGTCTGGTATTGGAGGTTGCAATCTCTCAGTATTCTGCACAATATGTGATGTGATCCAGAATCAAGGGTGCAGCAGCCCGAGCACTTCTATTTACTCTCTGATTTCCATTTATCAGGAATTCCAGACACTCTAAATATAACCTCTCCTATTTCTCCCCACATCACCCCATTGTATACAGCAGGAAACTGAGAACAATTTGCTCCAAAATAAAATATGTTTCTAGACTAAACATAATTCAAATCAGGATTAGGAACATCAGCCCCCACCCCCATCTTTCTTAGCTCAACTTTCCTGTCACCAGCAGAGTACAGGTATTGGAATGGGGACAAGAGAGGGGTCCTTCAAGGTATAAAGTCATGCTCAAACACAAAGAGCATTTGATATTTATATTTGAGATTACTAAGCAACACACAAGGCAATGTGAACTTTTAAAAGAAAACATTTTCAAACACATTTTACTGTCCTATGTTCCCCATTATGTCTTTCCTCATAAGCCAGCCACTATGCTCTGGTAAGACTCCTCATGGATTTCCAACATGTCTCAATTTTGTTGGCTTCTCCCTGGCTTCAAACATATCCATTGTGAGTCCAGTAAGTGCTTTCTAGAATGCATCAGTATTGTCAGTGGGCAGAGTTTGGTCTGTGTTTTCTGAAGGCTGGTTTGCCCTCCCTCTGATCTACAGTGGACACAAACTCTGGTTTCCATGGATGTCACACAAGTCATCCTCCTCAAAGGTGTAGTTGAGGAAATGCTTGTGGACAGGTGACCTTGAGCTTCCCCCCATTGACACTGACTCAGCACAGTCACCACTTAACTGCACACTAAGGCCCACATTTAATGCTTTAAGTGCCAATTTTACTTCTTAAGTGTATTCCTCAACCACAACCAAACATTTCTAATGAAACACTATGGCTGCATTTTAAACTAGCAGATTCTGGTATGCAAGAGCTTTGGGAAAGTTCATTCTTTCACTTAACTAATGTCCTGGGCATCTACCATTGCTGAGTATTGTTTCAGACACTGAAGACAAAACAGTGAATGAGACAGGTGATTTTTTGTTCTCAGGAACACTCAGCCTCATAAGCAAGACATCCCATAATGAGTCAACAAATGAGAAGACCTTACACAGAGCTACATGCTAAATATACAATAAAGCTAATCATATGGGATTTATCAGAGGTGGGTCTACTTATATTTTCACAGAAGTCTGTCTGAAGAAGTGCTATGTAATTGGTGAAAGAGACAACAAGAAAAAATCAGCTACATGAAGACCCAGGCAAAGATACTGCCAGGTCAGGAACATAGCCAGTGCAAAGGTCCTGAGGCTGGAAGGGCCTGAAATGTCATGTGCCTGGCAGGAGATACAGTCAGAGAAATTAATGAGAATCAGGTCAGGAAATGCTAGGATTAGGAGGCTGGATATCAGTCTGGGTCTGATGAGCCTCATTTGCACAAGAGACAGTATATTGCTTTGAATTTTTAAAAGATCATATCAGCTGCTGAGAGTAGAAAAAAAGTTAACCTAGAAAAAGTGGAAATGGCTTCTGCAGTGTCCTGGGTGAGAGATGCTGGTGGCTAGGACCAGGGGAGACAGATGCAATTCTGAGTTTTCTTGAACCTGTTATATGTGAGACAAAGGCTTGTGAGGTTGGTCTTTTGGGTTTTACAAGATGGAATTCTGAAAGTGAAAAGTCCTGATTCTGGGGGGAATTGGGGAGTCACCTGTACTTTATAAATGCACAGGAAGGGCCAGAGCAGAGCAGAAGTAGTGCCAGATTACATGGCTCATCACTGGGTTAGGTGAGGCAGGGAATAGTGTTTCATTATATTTACTAGTGACCCAAACCAGAACAGTCTTGGAGAAATTTACACAAGGAACTGAGCACTGTGGCCTACAGGATTCTAGCCAGTAAAGCCAGCCCTAGGCTTTGTCCATGTGCTCGTCACAGGTCCCATTATAAATTTTCAGAATGTTTCTAAGCATCTCTGAGTAGGTCCTGCCTACTTAATGGTCAGAGTTTTGAGATCAGAGCTTGTCTCCAATTTCCACTGCTCTGTTCACCTCACAGCTGCTGTGTGATGAAGATTATCCTGGCTAAATTGAGGTCAAGATGAGATGGTGACACTGCATCTGAAAAATGACCAGACTGTCCAGTCTGCAGCATGATGACTGAGAGCACAGGCTCCAGATTCAGACCACAGTGGGTTCAAAGTCCTTTGCCAATCACTATCAGTGTGGTCTTGAGCCAATTCCTTACTCCAAGCCTCACTGCCTCCATCTGAAAAAAAAAAGGGAAATAAAAGCATTTATTTTTTAAGGTAGGAATTAAGAGAAAGTGCATGTAAAATCTTATCATGATTGTACTTAATAAACACTCAGTAAAAAGTGGCAATTTTTATAGATAGAAAACTGTTCATTCATCTCCTTACAAATGAGCTTTGTTCCAAATTCTGAGCACACAGCAAGGCCAGGCTCTCTGTATTGTGCCTTTCAATGTTATCTCTTCACGTTTCAGTGGGATATCTAGAGGGAAGGAGAACGAGACAGGACTCAGCGAGTTCCTCCTGCTTGGCATCACCAGTGACCTTGGGCAGCAACAAGTCCTCTTCTGGCTCTTCCTGTGTATGTACCTGGTCACTGTGGTTGGGAACACACTCATCATCCTGGTCATCTGTTCTGAACCACACCTGCACACTCCCATGTACTTCTTTCTCACCAATCTCTCTTTTGTTGACATCTGCTTCACCACCAATCTGATCCCCAAGCTCCTGGTCAGCCACATGGCAGGAACACAGACCATCTCTTACCCCTACTGTCTGACTCAGATGTACTTCCTCATCTCCTTTGCCAATGTGGACACCTTTCTGCTGGCTGCCATGGCTCTGGACCATTATGTTGCCATCTACAACCCCCTGCAGTATTACACCATCATAACCCCCCAGCTCTGTGGTGGGCTGGCAGCTCTTGTGTGGGTCTGTTCTGGCTTCATCTCCCTGGTCCACACGCTCCTCATGAGCAGGCTGACCTTTTGCTCTTCCACCCGGAAGATCTCACACTTCTACTGTGATGCTTACCTGCTCATGAAGATTGCCTGCTCAGACACACATGTCAATCAGTATGTGTTCCTAGCAGCCACGGTCCTGTTCATGGCCCCCTTTATGCTCATCATGGTCTCCTACATCCGCATAGCCATAGCTGTCCTCCAGATTCCATCTGCCAAAGGGAAGCACAAAGCATTTTCCACATGTAGCTCCCACCTGTCTGTGGTCACCCTATTCTATGGGACTGTCCTGGGGATCTACACATGACCCCCAGACTCATTCTCAGCCAAGGACACAGTGGCAACCATCATGTACATTGTGGTGACCCCCATGTTGAACCCCTTCATCTACACCCTAAGGAACAAGGACATGAAGGAGGCTGTGAGAAAACTCTACATCAGGGATTCAAGATCCTCTTAGTGGTGGTGAGAGCTGGGCTGGCACACGGAAAGACATACAGCAGAAGGAAACAGAACAGACTTCACATCATCTTAACACCAACCTCCTCCACACACCAACTTGGACTGTTTTTAAAAAACTAGAAATTAGAAGGGAATTTCATTGTGTTCAGAAGAGAGAATTAGAAGAGATAATTACTTGTATTTCTGGGAATCTATTTCAGCTGCAGGGTAATAGAAAATTCCAATTACATTGACTTAAACAAAATCAAAGTTGATCTTTGTCTTCCATAATGACACATCCAGAGTGGAAAACCCCAGGCTATAAATGAGACTCCCAAGGTCTCTTGTCTCTTCAGTGATCCATGGAGTGAGGCTTTTATTCTCATATTTCTAAGATTCTTGCTGAAGCTCCAACCATCCTATCCTCCCCCAGGAGAGGAGAGGATGGACAAAGGGGTTTATCATTTCTGAGGGCTTTTCCGGAAGCCCTACTCAGCTCCTCCTGCTCACATCTCAGCTGTGGCCCACTTGCAAATAGGCTGGAAAGACAGTAGCTATTTTTTGTTGCTGTCCTGTTCATTTAATTGCTAGGATTATATTTACCACCACCTCCAAGAAAGCAGTAAGAAAGGGAAAGGAAGACATGGATAATGGAAAAAGAGCTTGCAGGCAGGCCACAATACCTGATTCTCATTTTGCCACACTAACAAATGTGAAGAGGTCACCTTGCTATTTTAGAGTAAATCTTTTTCCTGGCATTAACAGTCTTAATTTTTTTAGAAAGAGATTTAATTTGGGATTTATTTTTCCTCCATAAAAATATAGTGTGCTGGAAAAGATTCACAATGTTCAAACTTTGTTCATTATAAAATTAATGTATGTTGATGATGAAATAAAGCCAAAATACTCTAAATGTAATGAAAGAAGTAATAAAGCATCTAGTAAAGTATTCACATTAGAGCAAACATCAAATATTTTTAAAGAACACAGATCTCTAGGTTCAACATCAATTTTTTTAATTGGCTGCTTTTTAAGTTTTTCTAAAATGTTTGAAATTGGCAGCCTCCATGATAGGAGAGAGATTACCCCTCTTTCCTACCCCTTAGCGTATTCCAAAAGATAGCAAACAATTGATCCAGAAAGGTCCTTTCATACGCAAAGCAACCAATCCAGAAGCCAAACCATCCCGTGTCTTCCACCAGCATTTTATGTTCTTGTCTAATAATTTCCCGCCTAAACCATCCCAGGTTTAGTTACTGAGACAAATTGCTATGTCTAAGAATTCACTGAAATTTTTCAAACAACTCAATCCTAACCCTATTATTTCTTTGTAATCCTGAACATAACTGAAAAAAAAAATCACAGCTCATGCTTATGTTTTCCTCTTTCTTCCTCTACTTCCTGACCAGCCCTGGTGCTTCCCCATGCCTTACTGCACATGTCCAGGCTTCTTGTTGCTAGACATGGGAGAATAGAAACTTCTTCCCTCATGGCAGTCACGTCTGTATCTTCATGTCTTATCACATAGAATTTTAAGAAATCCTGGCATAGTTTCTGTACAAATAAAACAAACAAAATCCAAATTCTTTACAGAAAAAAATAAAAATATATTTTTTAAAAATTGTCTTTTATTATCAATAAAATAAATCAATTTATCTTTAAAAAACTATTTAAAATAAAGCAATATAATCCATAAAATAAAGCAATTTCATTTTTTTAAAAAACATATGTATTACACAGAGCTTGTCACAGCATGCCCCTTTTGTTTTCTTAATTCAGGAGGCAGGCCTAATGGAAGGAAGTGGGGGGAGGGAGAAACAGCATGATGATAGTGGGGCTTAAAGAAGCACCTATCAGATAGAGCACTAATCTCTAGGTATATAAAGAACTCAAAAAGCTAAACACCAAAAAAACCAAATAACCCAATAAAATAAATGGGCCAAGGACCTTAATAGACACTTCTCAGAAGAGGAATACAATCAGTCAATAAATATATGAAAAAATGTTCATCATCACTAGCAATTAGAGAAATGCAAATCAAAACAACTCTAAGATATCATCTCACTCCAGTCAGAATGGCAGCTATTATGAAGACAAACAACAATAAGTGTTGGCAAGGATGTGAGGAAAAAGGCACACTCATACATTGCTGGTGGGACTACAAATTGGTGCAGACAATATGGAAAGCAGTATGGAGACTTCTTGGAAATCTGGGAATGAAACCACCATTTGACCCAGCTATCCCTCTTCTCGAACTATACTCAAAGGACTTAAAAACAGCATTACAGGGACATAGCCACATCCGTGTTTATACTTAAACTGTGGATCCAACCTAGATGCCCTTCAATATTTGAATGGATTAAAAAATGTAGCATATATACACAATGGAATATTACTCAGCAATAAAAGAGAATAAGATCACGGCATTAAAAGATAATGCTAAGTGAAGTTAGCCAGTACCAAAAAACCAAATGCTGAATATATTCTCTGATATAAAGTGACTGACTCATAGTGGGGAAGGGAGCAGGAGCATGGGAGGAATAGACAAACTCTAGATAGGGCAAAGGGGTGGGTAGTGAAGGGAAGGGAAGGGAAGGGGCAGGGGGTTAGCAAGGATGGTAGAATGTGATGGGAATCATTATCCAAAGTACACGTATGAAGGCACGAATTGGTGTGAACATACTTTATATACAACCAGAGATATGACAAATTGTGCTGTACATGTGTAATAAGAATTATAATGCATTCTGATGTCAATTATTTTTTTAAAAAATAAATAAATAAAAGAAGCAATTCTACAAAGCAAACTAGAATGGAAAGAGAAATGTCATGCAAAATGTTGAAATGGGGAGCCCAAGTGGTTGTCTTCCCATCAAAACAATGAGCAAATGAACTCTACTTTTTCAGAAGTCTGGAACAAAATCAGATACCTATTACATATTACTGTGGAGTATTTCAACACAGTAGATTTTACTCTTCTTTAGTAAAAGACAGGCAGACATAAATTAACAACTGTCCCTCCTTTTCTCAGTCCCACCAGCATGACTGGCTGCTTTTGGGGCAGAAAGTGGAGGCCTTCTCCTGGACAATTTGGGGGTTATACAGTTTAGTTTTTCTGATGGTATTCCAAAAAAACGGTTCAGGCATTTGCCTTGATTTCATCCCACTCAGCTGCAATGACTTCCCTGACCTCCAGTGGCATTTGTTAGATGATGTAAAAAGATAAATCCCCTCCCCCGCCCCCAGTTTTTCTTTTTTGGAGACATATATTTAAGAAAATCTTTGTCAAATCACTGCTGACCAACAAAAACTTCAGTGACCACATGCAAAAAAGAAAACTCAATTTGCAAATATGGCTTCAAAGAGTCACAAATCTCTGGCTTCAGAACTCAAAAAGTAAAATCAGCAATCCCTGAATACCAGGAGAAATGATTTTCAGTTATCAGATCATAACATTCAGAATACCCAACAAAAAGTTACAAAACACAGGGCAACAGGAAAGTATGCTCCAGTTATAAAGAGAGAAAAAAATGTAGCAGAAATCATCCTCAAGGAGGACCATGTAACAGTATGTGACCAAAACAAGGGCAGCAGGCAGTAGGATGATATATTTTAAGTTCTGGGAGAAAATAACCTGCCATCCAAGAATTATATACTTGGCAAAAGTATCTTCCAAGAATAAAGGACACATCAATACATTTCCAGACAAACGCTTAAGAAATTTATATATGTATAAATATGTATATGTATATATATACAATTATGCATAATTGTATATATATATATATATATATATATATATATATATATATATATATATATACAATTTTTCCTGCATAATTTAAAAGATGATTACAGAAAACAAAATCTAGGTTTATGGACATTCAATATATAAATATATGTCTTAGAGCTGGGGTTGTAGCTCAGTGATAGAGCAATTGCCTAGCAGGCAGAATGCAATGGGTTTGATCCTCAGCACTACATAAAAATAAAATAAAAGTATTGTGTCCCCCTACAACTACACACACACACACACACACACACACGATAGAGCATCTTAAAAAATTTTTTAAATAAAAATAGATATATAATTAGTGACAACTACAACATAAAGGGAGGGATGAAACTATATAGAAGCAAAACTTGTATAATATTGAACCTTAGTTGATACTAAATAAGACTGTCTTGTAATCCCCAAGCAAAAATTTAAAAATAACTAACATGCATAGCAAAAAACTGAGAAAGGGCCAATAGCAGTGGTGCATGCTCTAATTCTAGCTACTCAGGAGGTTGAAGCAAGAGGATCTCAAGTTCAACACTAGCCTGCACAACTTAGTGAGACCCGTTCTCAAAAAAAGAAAAAAAAAAGTGACTGGGGGTGTAGCTCAGTGGTAGAGAACCTTGTTTAGCAAGGCTAAGGCCTTCAGTTCAATCCTCAGTATTACCAACAAATAAACAAACACACAAAAAAAGTGATAAAGGAATCAAATTAGTACATTAGAAAATATCTAACACAAAAGAAGACAGTAATATCAGTATATATATATATATATAGATATATATAATAAAGAAAAAACATGTGAGACATAAAAAAAATAAATGGCAAAATTAAATCCTCCCTTATCATCATTACTTTAAAAGGAAATTGAAACTAACCTAGAAAAGACATAAATTGATAGGTTGGGAAAATATGGCCTTTCTACATATACAAGAAACCCTCTCTTTAGATACAAAGAACTTTCTAGTATAAGGATGGAGAAAGATATTTCCCAAAAACATACTCCACACAAAGAAAGATGGGATTGCTGTCAGAAAAAAAAATATGCACTTTAAGTCAAAAAGGTAAATAAGGATGTGAAATATTGATAAAAGGCTCAATTCAGCAAGAAAAGGTAAAAATTATACATGTGTACACATCTAATAAGAGGACTTCAAAACATGTGAAGCAAAATTTGACAGAATTGAAAGGGGAAACAGACAGTTTTACAAAAATAGTTGGAAGCATTAATACATCCTTTTCAATGATGGATAAGACAACAGATAGATTAATAAGGAAAGAGGATTAAACATCACTGTGGAACTATTAGACCAAATGTACAGATACCCAACAGCATCAGAATACATTTTACTCTCAAGGGCACATTGAGCATTCTTCAGGATAGACCATATGTTTAGGCCATAAAAGAAGTTTTAGTAAGTTGAATAAAAGATCAAAAACCGTGCAAGGGATCTTTTCCAATTCTCTCAGAAAGAAATAGAAACTGACTAGAAAACAGAGAGAAAACTAAAAATATGTGGAAATTAAACAATACACTTTTATACAGCCAATGGATCAAAGAAGAAATCACAAAGGATATTAGAAAATATCTTGAGGTGCATGAAAACAAAAACAGGACATACCAAAATGTATGGGGTGCACTGAGAGCGCTAAAGGTAATTTACAGCTATAAACACCTACAATTTTTTTTCCTTTGGTGGTACTGGAGATTGAATCTCATGCATGCTGGGCAAGTGCTCTACCACTGAGGTATATCTCCAGCCCTAATACCTACATTTTTTTCTTTTAGGAAAGAAAGACCTCAAATCAATAACCTAACTACTGTAATCTAAATGAACTAGAAAAAAAGAGCAACAAGTTAAATTTAAAGCTAGAAGAAAGAAGGGAATAATTACAATGAGAGTGAGATCAATGAAACGGAGATTGGAAAAACAGAGAACATAAAAACCAAAAGTTAGTCTTTTCAGAAGACCAACAAAAATGAAAAACTTTCAGCTAGATTTGCTGAGTTTCTTTTCATGACTAAAAGGCTCAGGGATTACTCCAGGGAAACTGGGCTGACTGGGCTGCACAAAATAACCACACAAGAGACACAAATACCTTTTTCTTTGGGGTCACTGTGACGGCTCCTCTGACCTTAAGGGTCTGCAGGAAGACAGAGAGAGAGAGAGAGAGAGAGAGAGAGAGAGAGAGAGAGAGAGAGAGAGAGAACGCACGCACTGACCCTTTTTATTGAGGATAAGCTATTCAAATGAGGCAAGGGATCAGGTTTCAGGGGACTGAGTCTATCTTCATGATGTCCACTGTCAGCAGGTTGACTGACATCTGGGTAGGCCACACCCAAGGACACAATAAGAGAAGGGGACACACACAAGGCACTTCCATGGAAGTATCTATCCTAAACAGGGCAAGGGGTTATATTACAAAGGAACAGGTGAACATAGCTCCATCCATGGGGCTGTAGGAAGACAAGCCTGGGCGGGAAGACACAAGTCACTCGAACCCTAGAAGAGAAGGGCAGTCTAGCAGCATGGTTGCCTGACACCACATCGCCCAGCAGGGGAGTTAACTCAGTCACATGCGAGGCTGATCTCCCACATAGATTGATGAAGATAAAAGGAGATAACCCAAATTACTAAAATCAAGGATGAAAGTGAAGCATTACTGCCAATTATAAAAAAAGATAAAAAATGAT